GCTATGCCTATAAACCAGTGATTGTATTTCGAGATAACGATAAGAGAATACTTGTCGAAACATCGTGCTATGCCTATAAACCAGTGATTGTATTTCCATATAAACTGTGTTGTGTTTTTAATGTGTTCAATCGCTAAATGTCACTCAAGGATTATAAGAATAATCTAATTCCAGCCTGCATTCTTTTGCCCTGTTTCCATCGATGTCGTCATATAAAAGAAGTAAGTCTATAAAACATTTCTATTCAAAATCAAAGTTGACATTAGGCTCAGTAATTATAAAGTACACAGTCCTGATAAATGTTTTTGAACAATAACAATAAACTGACCCATTGTTATCTGGAAATGGAAACTATCCATTTGTCTGCTTAATTTTTAAAGATCTAACTTTCAAGTACATTCTACATGTACAAGAGAAATAAATGACAAGAATTATAATTTATGGGGATGAGAGTGGGAAATAAAAAATCTATGCTTACAGCTGTAGATAGAGACAATTAGTCATCATTTTTAAATGAACCTGTTTTTATACCGCCTTGTGTGATGACAAACAAGAAATATGATACTAATGATGAAGAAAAATAAATAGGGTTAACTTACATGTCTTAGTATTGCTTCTTCTCCTGCTGATTTCATTAAACCTTTAACATCCATCTGACCTAAACGCAGTATATACAATGGTCGCCCCTCTGAAATTTATTCAATAATATAAATAAAGCATGTAAAAAATTGTTCATAAAAAAATAAAACAACTAAAACATGCATCGATAGAGACAACAACAGCATCGCTAACACTGCAATATACGTCCACATTCCCGCTTTGATTGATATGGTACTTTTCAAAATGAATAAAAATCAATAATTGCCATCCTTAAGGTATAAGGAATAAGTATACCAAGTTTCAAGATAATCCATTCAGAATTGTAGCCTTCAGATGCTAAACACAAAAAATGGGCGTAACTCTGCCCCGGGGGGGTCAGGGCATGCAGCTAAAATAATCAATAGTTGTCGTCCTTAGGCTATAAGAAATACATATGCCAAGTTCCGAAATGATCCATTAAGAATTGTGGCCTGTAAACGATAAACACAAAGATTGGGCGTGGCTCTGACCCTAGGGGTTGGTGGGCATGCGCCAAAAACAATAGGGATCCTCCTTAGGGTATAAGGAATAAGTACATGTATGCAAAGTTTAAAGACATTCTATCAAGAATTGTGCCATGTAGGTGACCCACAGACACACACACACAGATGGGTGACGACAATATACGTCCACATTCATCCACATTATGAATCTGGACTATTAAAAAAAACAGTGTAAAAAAAGAGTGTGAAAAGCACTTATAAACCGTTCAGACACTTATTTTTAAACGAATTAATAATAAATCATTTTATTCATGATCATTATTCAGTTAACAGATGGTTGATATAAATGTATACAGAGATAGAGAATGAAGATAATCCAATAATAAGCATCATTCACAATGATTTAATTCTCTATAATATTTATGAAGATTAATGATTAGAAAGAAATAGTTTTGATAATCCTGCCCGCTTGCTCAGCTGATATATTAATGAAGAAGATGACTAAATAGTAGAATTACCTTTATCAGAATAATGCCAACCCCCAGGATAATAAGTCTGCATTACAGATGATGGTTGATATGATTCTAATAACTGATCTATATTATGTAGTTTACGCCAAGCCATTGAATGGACTAACATTTCTCTAGCTTTCTCCACATTAAATTCACGAGCTCTTAAAAATCTTAAAATGTGACCATCTTTTGGTATCTGTTGAAAAATACCAAAACAAATCAGTAAATATATGAGACGAAATGCATAGAGCTGAATGTCCTGCTTACATTAAACTACTGAATTTTGAAAGAAGGCATATTAATTACATTTAAATATAATTTGCATTTAATTTATAAACAAAAACAAAATTTCAACAATAGAAAATCTTCCGGTCTGGAATCAGTCAGATTTTAAAAAAGCCCTTCAAAGATTTTTCATGAAGATCGTAGGTGGAACTGATATCGTCCACAAAGGATGCGCGATGTTGACAATTTTCAATTCTTACTGAATACACCAATAAAAACATTTTCACAGAGAAAAATAAGCCAGCTTGTTCATTTTAGATTTATTTTGCAAAATGGGTTGTGCATCAATATCAGCCTACCAATATCAAATTAATAAATCTGTACTACTACTACGATGTAAATATATTTGCTTTCCTAACCTTTCCTTTGTGTGTTTCTCGTAGACTTTGCCGTAATTGAACCAAACTACTTTCTTCCACCATCGATAAATGTCCAAGAAATCTTTTAATATAATCATCATCTAGTTTACCTTTAGCTTCTGGTATAGCAACTATAACTTCTAGAAATAAATAAATAAAATATTACTCTATATGACATACACACTTTCATATATTCAGATGGTAATAAATGAAATGAAATGGGCCTACTTTTCTGCACCGAATGGGTAAATGAAGATGGGGCAAACACCATCACGGGGCATATACGCCATACAGTGTGCTATGAGGGACATTTTAACCGACAGCGACGCTACGGCCTACTCTTATTTCAAATTCCAACTGTCAAGGGTTCTTTTTTTACGGGCACGCCAATGTGTATGCATTACCTTGGTTATTCGTACCATCCAAACAACGCTAGACACTGTCCTTGTCAGGCCCTCCGTCCTGCACCAATGACAAAAGGTAAATGTACAGGAAAATCCAGAGGAACTTTCACTACTAACACCAGACCAGGAGCAAATCTGAGACCTCCTGGTTAGCAAGCCAGCGTCTTACTTACTTAGCCACCGTGGCTCCCATTCAGATAGTTATAGTAAATGCACTGTAATGTTACAAGGCAAGTATACTACATGTAGGATGGTCCTCATTTTGCAAAATTTTTACAAGTTAGGGGGCTACCCTCAATTTATGTTGGAAATGAAGAAACAAAATAAACAAAATTTAAATAAAAGAATAAAAAAAATGGTGCTACCGTCTATCAAAGTTAGAACAAAATGTGATTTTTTGGCATTTTTTCAATTTATTATTTCTATGGAAAAAAGTTATACATGAAAAGAAATGTGAACAAGATAAAAATAATATTTATAAAGCAACAGATGTGATTCCAGTGTTTTATACAGAGCTTCGAAAATTGGCGAAATAAAGATTTTTTCAAAAAATTGCATCTTTTTCCTAGCCCTTTATTTCTAGCCCTTTTGTTGTGGCTTCCGGTGTACCCATGTGGTCCGTCCTAGGACTGATCTTGTTTAGCTTATACACTAAACCACATGGTCTTATAGACATGATGGATTATTATTTCATCTATACGAGGATGATAAACAATTGTACATTTTCGTTCAAACCCATCAAAAGTGACTTTTAAATTTGAATATTGAAACTTGTATGGCAGACATAAAAATTTGGATGAACAACAATTTTTTTAAACTTAATGCAGATAAAACAGAATATTTGGTTATTGGGTCTTCTTTAAACAGAAAATAGTTAAATGTAAAACTTTGATCTATCGATACAATAGTTAAACTTTGATTTATCAATACAAGCAGTCATTTCTCAGTCAGCCAGAAATACTGAGGTAATTTTTAATTCAAATTATTCTTCAGAATATCACATAAACAATATTTAAGTTATTTTAATTTGAGGTTGCTGCCCAAAAACTGTGGAATAAACTTCCTTATACCATCCGGTTATGTCAGCCAGTTCTCTGTCGTCATTTGAAATTTCTCACAAACCCACTTGTTTAAAAGATGAAATAAGGAAGTTTATCCCATCATGTTGGCCATGTACTTCTGTCATTTAAATTTTCTCTTAAAACCCACTTGTTAAAAGATGGAACAATGAAGTTTATTCCACAGTTTCTCTTAAAACCCACTTATTAAAAGATGGAATAAAGAAGATTATTCCACAGTTTTGGGACAGCAACCTCAAAAACCTTCTCGCTGAAACTGACGAGATTGGCATTTTTCTCATTAAGGAACAAATTATCACTGGAAGACCAAATGTCGATCAATATAGGTGCCAGGTTATTTATAAATTTAACAAGTAGTTGTCATGCAAGATACGCCAACATTTTGCAAGAGATGGACAGAAAACAAGCTCAAAAAAAAGAAGCGATTTTTTATACAATCAGGGGCCATAATCCAGGAAGCTATGGTCAGATATCAATAAATATCAAAAGGAACCAACAAGATCTTTGGGATATAAACATGTTTTAAGTTTCATCAAAATCAGATAAAAAACCGTGACCATGGAGCGGAAATTCAATCTTGACTGTCATTATGGTGTAACAGTGATCTATTCAAATGTTTTTTTAAATTGGATAAAAAATTGTGACCTCTAGGGGGACCACAAGCTAAAAATGTGATATTTCGTTCAATCTGGGTCCATAATCCAGGAAGTTACGACCTCTAAAGGGACCACAAGCTAAAAACGCGATATTTTGTACAATCAGGGGCCATAATCCAGGAATAGGTGCGAATATCGAGATCGGATACAAACTGTGACCTGTAGAGTGTCCACAAACAAAATGTGAATGGACAAACGGACAGGGGCGACGACAATATACAACCACATGAAAATGTGGACGTATAAAAACACAAACACATCATGTATTTCCCAATTTTATTTGTATTTGGATATAAAAGGAGATTCTTTGAGCTTTCAGCCCATTTTCTTTAATTCCTTTTAATAGAGAAATAATAAAAGGGAGCCTACCTTCTGAAGCATCACTACCTCTATGTATAGTAGCAGCTGATGCTCCCAATACAAGACTTGCTTGACTGTGTTGACTAGTTACACTATTAGATCGACTTCGTTGTAAACCACTATCCTGGGATGGTGTATCTTCAATAGGTTGTGTATGTTCTTTCTCAGGTCCCTTCCATGGAGGTATATGAGTTATACCCTCCGTTAACAATTCATTAATATAAAATTCTATCACTTCTTTACCCTATAAAAGATAATTAATATCATATAATTAATTCATGTTGTGCATATTCTTTCTCAGGTCCCTTCCATGGAGGTATATGAGTTATACCCTCCGTTAACAATTCATTAATATAAAATTCTATCACTTCTTTACCCTATAAAAAGATAATTAATATCATATAATTAATTCATGTTTTCATGTCATTTTTTACACACCTCAAACACATATTTCATTAAAAATATGCCAATATTGGTACCTTTAAAAAGCCCAAAAAGGTGTTGCAATATTTTGGACATTCCATGGCATAATCTTGATTTCACTAACAGTATATTTAATTCAATCAAAATGACACTAAATTTGTACAAAATATACATGATTTAATTTTCAAGTGTTATGTAAGCCTACATTCTAAAAAGTACAACATTATTTGTCTTTTCATTTGGGCTAATAGTTGTTTTATATACATCATGTACAATGTACATGTTCCTCACAATGCATGGCATAGTTTCTTTCTTTTAAAACTACTCTCCCAAAACATAAGATAAGTCCTTCATTATGCACAAGCAGGAACCTCAATAAATTAAAAAAATTCCTGTGAAAAATCTTTCTCTTATCAGTGGTGCACGATGGGAGGGCCTTGCAAGGATCTGCATCTAATTATTTGGATTGTACTTAAAGCATGGGCCTGTGTAAAAGAATCTCTAGCAGACAGAAATGAGATGGCACATCTGCTCCAACTGGACTATACTGCACCAAAGAAAAAAGTGGAAACGTCACTGTCTGGACAAAAGTTTCCTCATACAATGTAGTACACTGCATGTCTTATGTCTGTCTAAGACTGGTGCTGAAATAAAGGAAGTTAAGTTGAAAATTCATCCATCACCAAGTTTTGAAAGGGGAAATGCAACTGACGAAATAAAAAGTGCTATGATTTGCAATCTGAAAGTTTTGTTAAGAATTCTTGCCTGAAAAGTGTTCATAAGGATGACACTGGTAATAATGATAGTAGATATCAACTTTAAGTACTACTTAGATAAATATGAATTTATATTATTAATAATTTATTCCTAATTAATTGTAAGTATATCATACCTTTTGTATATTTTGTGTGTATTGTTTCATGGCAATTTTTTCAACTGTACTTTCAAAACCAAAGAAATGTTTAATATCAAGACTGGCATCCTGTTCAAAACATGTCCAGTTTGAATTCTCTGGGTGAACCTGAAAAATAATCAATACAAATTTATCTTGTGTTCATATTTCACACATATAGTTGCTAATGGTACAAATGTAACCAATAAGGCCACAAGTAGCAAAGTTGTCTATGAAGTTGAGTCTATTTACCACCTTTATTAATTACGTTTAAAATATTCCAATCAAGGAGATAAAACAGTAAAATCCAAATCAAGGAAAGAAAAGTGGCAGAACATTGGAAGGAGACTATTCTTATTGTGCAAACTCCAGATCTGTGGCATTTATTCATTTCATGCATTAAATTAAAGGAGCTAAACCTCTTTGATTTAGATGCAGATCAAAATACAGTATTAAATTGGGTTTATTAGTGATGGAGCAAGCTCTATACCATTAAATTTGTTTAGAAAGATTGAATGTAAGTTGGCTTGCAGATACTGGAATATAAATTAAATTTTTTACAGGAGCAGTAATCTTACATGTCCAGGTTTTACAAAAAAACACAGATAGTTCCACTTGACTTGCATGTACATCACAGAATTGTCGGATTGATTTTAAGTTACACATCTTTCTATTTAAGTTACACACCCTTTGAGTAATATAATAACCCCAAATTTCAATAAAGGTTTTCTTCCCAATGGCTACCAAAAATATCATATAACATACAGTAAAAAATCACTGTGGCAAATAGCCTATGAGTTTTGACAATAAACAAACATATTGCTTATTTATATAGCCTAATTATGATACAAAATATAGATTTAAGCCCATGTTTACCAATAACAATTAATATAAACAATTCAATATTGAGTGCATGTCACAGGAATGTTTCAATGATATGTGATAAGATTAAAAATCATATTGTAAACATTTAGTTCATAGTAGCACACTTCAAATAATAGATCTAGGTTATCAATGTGAATACAGGAAGAAATGTCAATAATTTAATATCTATCAACAACTGATATCAATTAAATTTAATACAGTCACTGAAATTCACTTCTGTATGATACTGTAGTGTTTAATGAATATCTCACTTCAAATCAACTGAAACACTACACAACACAATAGATCTATTTAAAGCAGTAATTAGTCTAGGAGAGAAATGAAATGGGGTTAATGTTATACTGTTCTGCTCTGACCAGACTAATGAAGACGGGCATATGCCATACAGAGTACATGTACTATGAGGGAAATTTTGCCTGGACAGCAGCATTACGGCCTACTCTTATATTGAATTCCAACTGTCAAGGATTTTTTTACGTGCATGCCAATGTGTACACAGAACCTTGGTTTTTTGTCCCATCCAAACTACTAGACAGCTGTCCTGTACGGACGGACAGACGGCAACATACAATCACATTTCATTGTGGTTGTTTAACAGGAAGATGAGTAGTGCTTGGGTCCAGTTCTGGGTCCATATTAAAGTATGGACTGTAACTCCTCAAAATGCCTTCATAGCTCTCAATGTATGTATGTAGTAACAAATGACCATAAAGCTTTCATAGGAGAGAGATATCCTCTTTCTTGCTTTAGCTATCCTGACTTATAATTATATTGGTTTCAAGTACTGTAAAGATAGGTTGCCAGGCAACGAAACATACGCCCACAGCAGCTATATCGTCCGGGGAGTCAACAAAAGTTGTCGCATATTTTTAATTTTTCGGTAATGAAACATTTATAATACCCATTAAAATCTGATTAAGAGTAACAACTCATTAAGTAATTATCAGAAAACCAACGCCCACAGCAGCTATATCGTCCGGGGAGTCAACAAGAGTTGTAGAATATTTTTAATTTTTCGGTAATGAAACATTTATAATACCCATTAAAATCTGATTAAGAGTAACAACTCATTAAGTAATTATCAGAAAACCATTAGAATTTGTTTGGTTTTTATAAAGTTCTGCGCCATCCTAATGTTAAGTATACAAAACTTTTAACATCATGGATTTAGCTGTTCAAGTCATAAAGATTCATTGAAAATCAATAAACTTGTTCATCTCAAGACCTTAACTTTAGCCTCTAGAGCATCCACAAGAGTTTTCAAAGTGATCAAGGGCCATAACTCTGGCGGTAATTATCGGAAATCGAGGCTAAAAATCAATATGATTCTTCGTCTCATGACCTTAAACAATGTGTATAAATTTTAAGTCAATCGGATATTAACTTTATCCTATAGAGCATTTACTATATTAAACAAATCCTGTTTCCACAGTGGTATCATTTCGAGGATGCATATAAACATTAACGCCCACATCCAATAGATATCCAGCTGTTGTTTTTTATTGGAAACTTTGTAAATAAAACACCCACTACTTTTTTAGCTAAAAGTTGAACCTGTCATTTAGTTCGGAGATATTGAATAATGATAATATTAATTGTTGATCAAGTTATTATTTCTTTGTGCATCAAAAAAAGCAGTAAATATGTTTATCATATAATTTTCAAAAATGTGTTACAATTGATTGTAATAAACAAAGCAAACAGGTTACAATACTATGAATGGTACTGATACATGTACCTAAGTAGTTGAGATATCACTGAATAAAAAACCTCAAGGGATTTGATGTAATGGGTCAATCTTTCAGTTTATAATGCACACACACTGATCCAACCAATAAAGATCGTACTACAGAATGTAAAATCAATGTTAAAACAACTTACAGGCACAAACAAATAAATAAAATATATTGCACGATATCATTTATATCATAGATGAGCCCATCGACAAATGGTAAAAGTAACCTGATTGTCAATCAGCTATGTTCTCAATCAGCTTGCATTCTTCATTTGCTGAGTGATATTACTGTGAGTGTGAGAGTTAGTGCTATCTATAGTAACACTAAGCCAGTTTCTTTCCTAAGTAAAATGAAAATTATGGGGTACAGTAACAGTCATTTTTAGAAGATGGCTTTTAAAATAAAACCTTTGCAAAATTAGCAGATAGTTATACATGTAGGTTTGTTTGGTTCCCTAAAGTAGTGTGCCAGCAGAGAGGCTACTGTATCATTTGTCTCAGTGGTGTGTGAATAACTTAATCAATGCTGTGAATTGGAACACATAACACTGATAATCCATCTGGTGCATGACACCTGTCACACTCTGTAGCTATAAAACCGATCTAATACATGTACATGTACCATTACAGTTTCTGTATTTTAATTAGGACATTAATTTTGACATCAGTTACTGAGTTAGTGTTCTGTAAACCTAAGTGTAAAAATAAATCTAGGTCAATTGATTTTCAATTACTATATTTACATACGGAACATATTGTCAACAATATACCTAATATCATTAAGTTTAAAAGTCATTGGTGAAATTTATGTAATTATCTAAATACTAGGAATGGGGTGAATTAAAGGTATATAACATGTAACTGATATTATATATAGTCACTGGTTTAACAATTTTGTGATGTAGACAATAGAGAGAAAGAGAGAGAAATGGGGTTTAACGTCCACTCGACACAAACTAGTCATTTCGGGACTAACATATGGTTTAATTGTCTTTCAATAATTCGCTTGCTCGTAGGGGTCTTTAGCAGTGGGAGGAAACCGGAGGACCCGGAGAAAACCCACGAGGTTGGACAGGCGACCCTACTCCTTGTCACACTCACCTACAGGCTTTATTATACAGGGCACACGTGCTAACCATTCGGCCATCCAACCCCCCTGTAGACAATAGGATAGGAATGAATTATAATGAGTCATCATAAACACAATACATGTACATTGTACTTTGCTCATTTTGAGACTAAGTGTACCATACATTTTGAGACTAACATACATTTGAGACTAACATACATTTTGAGACCAACAAATTACTTCTCTGTTCTATGATCATGTGTGCAATGGAAGGAAGAAGAACTTTGTCCGGACAGTGACATTTCCTTCTAGTTCTAGGGTGTTGTGATTATTAAAACCTGATCAAATCATTGTAAATACTCCACAAGAAGCTATTCATTAATCATTTGTGTTTATTTCAGATAAAGTGGTCGTTGATAACATTTTATCAAATTTCATCTTCTTTGCTCGTTTGTCATTATTAAAACCTAATAAATCATTGTATACATGTATATACTCCATAACAAGTTATCCATTAATCAATTTGTGTTAATTTTCAGGTAAATTTGTCTTATTGTATTGAATGTTGTTATTAGCATTAAACTTTATAATCCTTAATTAAATTAGATTCCCTTTAGGTACATGTACAAATGTACATGTAATTAAGGGGGTGTATTCCCAAGACGGCGCCGTTATAGAGCGTGACCAAAATTAATCCTTCCCACGAAGGCACAAATATGGACTTGTTGGCTTTCGTTTGAAGAGAGGAATGTTGTTATTATTGGGACGCAATTAATGGTGTTAAAGATTTCATGAATTTATGTTCACTCTGAATTTTATTCACCAATTGGCAACTAATGATGAAAATCATCAAATCATCCAAGTATTCAATGTGAATCTTAATCACCAATTGGCAACTAATGATGAATATCATCATAACATCCAATAGTGTTCACATATTCGCTCACTCTCTATCAGAGCCAACCAGCGGCTGCCAGGCAGGATACGCCCAAATTTTCAAGAGATGGATAGAGAACAAGCTAACAAGAAAGTGATTTTTCCTACAATCAAGGGCCATAATTCAGGAAATTACAATTCGATATGCGCGAATATCGTAAGGAACTGAGATCTTTGTGTTATAAACTTACATTTCAAGTTTCAACAAAATCGGATAAAAATTGTGACCTCTATAGGGTCCACAACCTTGATATACCATATTTTTACACTATTTGAGAATGAACGGCGGCCATTTAGTCTGTCAATTTTGGGCTGATTTTCACGAAATACGAACTCAGTCGTCTTTAGGGTGTAACGGTGATATAATAATACATTTTTTTAAATCAGATAAAAATGATGACCTCTATAGGGTCCACAAGCTAAAAAAGCGATTTTTCGTACAATCAGGGGCCATAATTCAGGAAGTTACAGTCCGATATGCACAAATATCGAAAGGAACCGAGA